AGAGAGAGAGAGAGAGAGAGAGAGAGAGAGAGAGAGAGAGAGAGAGAGAGAGAGAGAGAGAGAGAGGAGGGGGGAGAGGGTGGCGGCAGAAGAAAACACAAGCAATCCAGGACCTGCGAAATGGACGAGAAACCGAGAAAACCCCAACGATCGTGAGGCGTCAAACTCTTTCTCCGATGCGGATGCGGTTCAGAAAACTTTACATTGCACCTATAATCTGCTTAAGACTCTTACAATTACTATTGTTAACTAGACTGCTCAGTTCTGTTGTTATTACCGTTATTATTACTGTTACAGTAATTTACTACTACAGTAAATAATATTTACATATGTAAAAGACCGTCGGTGGCCGTGGGCGAACTAAGGAAACGGCCTCCTGAAGGCAACAGGGAAGAATCTGATGATGACGAAACATCCAAGCGCGAATGCTCACTGTCTAAGAGTCTAGAGGCGCGTTCTGTTCCGTCATTCTGCAGTCCCGTTCAGCCACATGAACGACAAAATGCAGGGTTTATCTGCTGCCCTAGTTAGATCAAACTCAATCTATATTCAATGTTCTATTTTTAGCATGTCCCTCCCTTTTCACTAAGTTAAACATAACAGCCTTCCATCAACAGGGATTGCAATGGTTACCTCCGTGTTCTTCCGCCGATATGCCGTGCAGATTATAACCTGTCCATTTTCTCCCTCCTTCCTCCTCCTCCTCCTCCTCGTCCGGTGCTGCTGCTGCTGCCGATGCTCTCTCCGTTTTCTTCTTCCTTCCTACTCCAGCTCTTCGCCGTCGTCGTCCTCCTCCTCCTCCTCCTCCTCCTCCTCCTCCTCCTCCTCCTGCTGCTGCTGCTGTTTCTACTGCACGTAGTCCTCCTCCTCCTCCTCCTCCTGCTCCTGCTCCTGCTCCTGCTCCTGCTCCTGCTCCCGCTCCTGGCCCTGGTCCTGCTCCTGGTCCTGGCCTTGGTCCTCCTCCTTGTCCTCCTCCTTGTCCTGCTCCGGCTGCTCCTGCTGCTACTGCTCGTCTTCCTCCTCCTCCTGCTCCTGATGCCGCTTCTGCTTCTGCCGAGACTGCTGCTGCCACCGTATGCTCCCTCTTTCTCCTGTTGTAAATGAGCACGACAGAACGGTTACAGCGGACGCGTTGAGATGTAGACATATAGTTTATTCAAGTTTTATCCTCCCCGAAAAATTGGACCTGATGAGTGCCACCCATTGTCTTCTACTTCTCTCCTGCTTCCTCTTGTTCTGCATCTCGAGCTGCTTGGCTGTCTCTGTCGCTGTCGCTGTGGCTGTTGCTATTGCTGTGGCTATCGCTGTGGCTGTCGCTGTTGCCGTTGCTGTTGCCGTTGCTGTTGCTGTTGCTGTTGCTGTTGCTGTTGCTATACTGTCGCTGTCGCTGTCTCTCTCGCTTTTGCTGTTGGTGTTGCTGTTGCTGTTGCTATTGCTGTTACGGTTGTTCATGCCGCGGCGGCCCTGCTGTCATCTCCCTCTGCTTACTGATCTGCCGGATCACACGACAGCAGACCTTACGATACGATATAACACAACGCACCCGCATTTTGGCTGTTCCTGACTGGAAATATAGCTTGTGTGCATTCATTATGAGGGTCACCGTAGCGGGTTATGTTCGGGGGACGGGGGTATTAGTAGTAATTGTTGTTGTTGTTTTTCTCCATATATAAAAGCGAGCAAACCGGGTTACAGCTTGGCAGCAGGCACGAGTTATACCCGCCCAGAGCCGTAAGCGGGATAGAACGAGGGAGATGCCGTACGAGAAGCGGCTACGTATCCGGTTTTTTTTTTTGTTTTTTTTTTTCTACATGTCCAGCTTTTTTTTTTTTTTTTCCTGTTTTATTTCAAAATTTTGCTCTCTGCATTTTCACACCCGCCGTGCAAGTATACTTTTAGTCTTTTTTTTTTTTTTTACTATAGTCTACAACAAGAATTCCGAAAACTGGAATTTCAAATTTTGATCAGATGCTCGTGGGATTAAACGGTCGGCTAGTAAACCCCTACGGGTGAGTCCTCCGCAGATACCTTCGTCTCGTCTTCTCCGCTCGTTTCCCCGTTGCGTCCGCCGGCGCTGGTGACTCCTCGCAAGCGGAGCGCCCCCCTCCCGCTGGTTCCTGAAGCGGCGCCGGATATGGCGGATGAAGTATGCGGCGGAAGCGGCTGCCGTGCTCCCCCCCCTTCCGAAGTTGTCAAATCCTCCTCCCGGTTCCCCTTGGGGTGCAGTTCGTAAGATCCCGCGGAGGGATCGGGATGCGGCCACGTGGCGGGGCGCCGCAGCACAATGCTCACCAAGTCCTGCTCAGCAGTGGCAATGGAAGGGGGGGAGGAGATGTTTCCCGCCTTCTGCTCATCAGGAGCCTCGATAAAGGCGCGCCATGGGGCAGTCGTCCTCACAGTAGCACCCACCTTCCCGTTGTCGCCCGGGCCGTTGGAGGAAGGATCGGAGTCCTTCAGCACCGCCACGATCAAAACAAGAAGGACGAACAAGACGCACATAAAAAGAGCAGCCAAACCCCTTCTCGCGTTTCGCTGCCAATATAGTGTAATCAACTCCATCAGTCCCTCCATCTCTCTCTCTCTCTCTCTCTGTGTGTGTGTGTGTGTGTGTGTGTGTGTCGCGTACGCAGAGTGTCGATTTGGTTCTAGTATTTAGTGTGTGTGTGTGTTTGTGTCGCGTACGCAGAGTGTCGATTTGGTTCTAGTATTTATAATAAACTATGTAGAAGGACTCGTCCAACAGCATACGCTCAGTTGGTAAGGCTCGCAAGTGGCATTAAGGAGGTCATGGGTTTAATCCCCCTTAGCCTCGTGCCTTCCTGGGCTTACTTGGCACCCGCTACCCAAGAGATAGATCACAGGATCCCCCTATCGGCATCAAGGAGAGTCTACTATGTTTGTAGGGGAGGGCCTGACGGGAGGCACGGGGGATTGGTCCGCTTTTTTGGTGCTACCAGACCACTGGATCCCCCGATCGGCATCAAGCAGAGTCTGCTATGTTCGTAGAGGAGGGGCCTGAGGGGAGGCACGGGGGATTGGTCCGCTTTATCCCTGGTGCTATAGGCCGTCCCCTGGCCGGTATCCTGCAGGCTCGAGGGGCCGTAAAAACACGGCTCTGGTATGCTACGGGTTTTCCCGTATGCCTATAGGTAGGAGTAGTGGTAGGTAGGTAATGTGAGGAAAAAATTGAGAGAAGAGTATAGTTAACCTACAGATTCCAGTTGTATCTACTTTTGTTTGCTCTTCGGCCCACGGCACTGTCTTGTAGCGTTGTGGTGTGTTGTCTGGACAAACAGCTGTAGTAAGGACGGGTCTGGAAGGGCGACTTGGGGCATAGCTCTGCTACTCACCGAATGTGCAAAGTGAGAGTGAATCTTTGCTAGAACAATGGACAGATACGGTGGCATTTTTTCTTTTTTTGGCGCATGTCGTGAGTAGTGGAGCGAGGCCCTTGAAAAACCTTCCTCTAGGGTCGGATCCCACACTACTTGCAGTAAGTAAAGCAGTAAAAGAAACCAAAAAGATGGAACGGGAAAGAAAAATTGCATTCCACACACCCGTGCCGTTTGTTTTGGCAAATGTAGCATCCTAGCCAGCCAGGACGAGGAGAAAATACACACTCACACTCACACACACACACAAAAAAAAAAAAAAAAAAAAAAAAAGGAAAACAACCTTCCATCTTCTTAGAGGCAGGGTACGGGTTCACCACGTGCCACAAGGACAAACATTTCCACTTTCATCTGATGGCAGTGCTGGCCCCTACTCGTGCGGAAAATGGTGCCATACCTAATTTTGCCAGAAAGAAGGCCGGAGGGGACACAGTCCCATGAAGGGCCACACTACCAGGCGTACTCTCTGTCCGGAGACGGCAGCGCTCTGGGTCGGCAGCGAGGTGTGGGATTCGGGGTGTGGGGCAGAATGATGTCTTCTTCTATGATCCCTAGGTTCGGAAATCGCCCTCAGCTTCGACAAGGGGCTATGTCTCCCTGTGGAATACCAGGGAGCAGGGCGATTCCAACTCCTCCTACAACAGATCCTACAACAGAATCTACAAGAGTCAAGTAACAACGAGTGCAGTGTGAACACGATGAAGGGAGCTACAAGAGTCAAGTAACAACGAGTGCAGTGTGAACACGAAGAAGGGAGAGAGAGTCTAGTACGGGACAGCGGGCACATCCAACAGGGGCACCTCTGGAGGCAGTGGGTGGGCACATCCAGCAGGGGCACCTCTGGAGGCAGTGGGTGGGCAGCCCGTGGTGGTGGGACTGGTGTTGGGAGGAGCACGTGAGAACTACTGTTGACTATCTCAACTGGGAGCCTGAAGACCTGAAGCTCGACGGTTAGCGGTGCCACCAATGGGAGTGGGATTTCCTCTGGTGGTGGTGGGAGCATCTCCGTTGGAATCAAGGGCGCTGAGCATCAACCAAGCCACTCTCTACCACAAAATATTTAGAGTGCATTCACCTAGCCATATTTTTTTGCTAAATACTCCTTAAGAGTGGCTTACTTCATGACTGTCATACAGGATAATATTTGGAAATACTTTCCCCCTATTTCAAGCTCTTCCTGCTATGTGCTTTGGTGTCACTGGCAACCTTGATCGTATTTAGCCATTAGTATTCTGTATCTGGGCATATGCTTCGTTTGGTGCACTCTTCCTTTGTCATTCTTATATGCAAAACCTTGTGTAGTGCAACAGTATTTTACTCATACTCTGCATTGGGTCGTAAGGCTGGATTTAGGAAACCCTCCATCCCTATTCCCATATCTGAGCCCTGGTATAACATAATAATTCCAAAATTGCTCGCAACTATCTCACCTAATCTCACCTAATCTAGAGGCTATTTCAAGGACTGCGGGTTCTCGGCTTTAGTTCTGGTTGGTAAATGTGGAAGGTTGGGGGTTGTTTGTAGAAGGCAACGGAACTATTGGAGGTGGTGGGAGACCTAACTTGAATAGTTGTGGGAACGTTGCTTACCTACTAGGGCACGACTAAATAGCATTTAGCGGTCAAGAGAGCAAACTTGGGTTGCACCCATTGAGATCTAGGGTGCCTGGAAGATGGCAGTTCCTACAGAGATCCAAGGGTGCAAGGTGGGAAACCTCGTCTCGGCAACCAATGCTCCCCACTGCTACTAGCTGCACTGTCGGGCCGGTATTGGTGCTGTCTTCCTTCGGTGGAAATTACTTGATCTGCTCGTTGGGCGAATCCTTTTCTGGAGCTTTCCAGATTCCTCTCTAGTTCAAAATCTGTTATTTGGCTTTGTTCATTAGGGTTTAGTCATACCAAGACTATTATAATTTCAAATGGCCGTCTGCCTTTTTCTGGCCACCTACATAGGCTGGACTCATAGGCTTGCTACAGATTTTTCGAACATGGATCTTGAATTGGTGATAGCTGGTTTCTCAGCTCTGGTACTCCACGCTCGGAAATGCATTTGAAACCGTTTTAGGTTGCTGGACACGTATTCATACCTTTTTACTGTGCTTCAGGGGATTTTTTTTTGAGAAGCTTCTTTGAGATAACAGAGTGAGAAAATGGGACACTGGACCCGGTTTCCAGTTCCGCCGAAGCTGGGTAATGGCCCTAGTATGTTCATCGGGGTTGAATTGTGAGGTCCCCGGGCTGTTTTTTGTAATAAAGGTTATAAAGGTGACCAACTTCTCAAAAAAAAAAAAAAAAAAAAAAAAAAAAAAAAAAGCCAGAAAGTACTTACCGTACGTAGTGAATTTTGCCAGAAAGTACTTTCTGTAAGTAGTGTGGGATCCGTCCCTTGCTGTAGCTGCCGTGAAAAATACACAGAAGGACGGCTGAACTTCCTCCACCGGGGTGGCCTCGAGCTTTCGGCTGCCGCTGTGCCCGCTGAATTAGCCCTAGTTTTTGCTTCAGGCAACACGGCCAGTTCGCCTGTGCGCTGCCTTTCACTGCTCCGCCATACAGTCTTTCTCCCTCGTAGGTCAACCCTAACTCTGGCCTCAATTCGCCGCCCGCAGGGTAGTGTGAACATTGTGACTAGAGGCGTGCTGTGGCGATGTGGAGGTTCATGATCACTTTTTTTCACGAGTCATCTGTTATATTGGAGGGTGTGGGAACGATGGTTTTTCGTGAAGCTCGTCCTATCGTCTTCATCCGAATAGACGGCAATGCAGACCAAATACGGATATAATGACCGGGCGCTCTATAAGGGTGAAGACGGTAACCCTGTCCTAGAGTGGACAGGGGGCCGGTATGCATTAGCGCCAGGGCTTCCTCCGACAGCTCCTGTAATGAACGCTAATGAACGCGTCAAGCATAGGGCCAGATCCCACTGGCAAAGGGGATTGGAATAAGTGTCTGAATCTGGACGTGTTCCACACAGAGATGCAGAAAATTTGATCAATAACAGTTTTTTGCACCTCTCCCCAAATTCACACACTTATTCCAATCCTGTTTGCCAGGTGGGATCTGGCCCTATGATGTCTGGATGCCAGCCTGTAAGTGTTGGACCTTATACACTCGGGAAGCCCCTCTTCCCTTGGAGAGTAGAGTTCAAGGGTTGGGCTCCTCTCTCACCATCTGGTGGCATCTGAAGGCAAACGTGTGCTCATATGGAGCAGAGGTTTAGCCCCCCGATTCTTTTCTGATTGGTCTTCAGCTTCAGAGGCCTTCCACGGCAGCATGGCCGAATATGGGAAGGATCTGACGTTGAATTTCGGGAAGACTTTCATACACGAGCGGGGATCCGAGAGACTAGATGGGGACGGGAATAGTGGCAGTGACGTGACGTCGCCTGGTCGTCGGCTTGTGGTAGAGTGGAGTGCGGCATCAATGGAATGAAGCTGACTTTTTATAGGCAGCGCTTGCCCTGCCGGGCTCTACAGCTGTGTGAGAGCTATGGTGACAGTGCTCCAGCATAACATAAGCCCTTGAGTGGGTTAGGGAGTGCCTCTCTACTTGTACTCTGGAGCATCCTGGCAGCCCCTACAGTCGACCTAGAACACCGAGAACACCGAGAACACCGAGAACACCATGTGCTAACACCATATACCTACGGTGACAGTCCGCAAGCATAACCTAAGCCTTTCAGTGGGTTGGGCTGTGCCTCTATACTCGTACTCTGGAGCATCCTGGCAGCCCCTACAGTCTAGTGATAACACCATACACTAACACTGTATACCTGTAAGATTCATAAATCCTCTAGGGGGGAGAGAGAGAGAGAGAGAGAGAGAGAGAGAGAGAGAGAGAGAGAGAGAGAGAGAGAGAGAGAGAGAGAGAGAGAGAGAGAGAGAGGGAGAGAGAGAGAGAGAGGGAGAGAGAGAGAGAGAGAGAGAGAGAGAGAGAGAGAGAGAGAGAGAGAGAGAGAGAGAGAGAGAGAGAGAGAGAGAGAGAGAGAGAGAGAGTAGTGTGCAGCAAGCTTGCATCCAACAGCGGCGTCCCGGGGGCAGTGGGAGTGTGACCGGTGGTGGTTAGAGAGAGGTTGGGAGGAGCACAGGCATATGAAGTGCTAGTCACTGTAAACTGATGTATCCGACCTAGCTCCAACCTAGATTCGTTTATACTTCGAAGCCAGGGGAGGTGCGAGGGGTAGGTCGTTTATACTTTGAATCCAGGGGCGGTGTGTGGGGTCGGATTAGCAATACTTCTCTGTGGTCTTCGATGTTTCTGTGCCTCGCCATCCCAAGGTCATGCCTTCTTGAAAATTTGAAAGCACCCTGCTTAAACCACCTGTACCTTTCTCAGCTATCGGCCGCGGGCCCTGCGCGCAAAGCTTTGCAGGCGTATCTGGCCGCCGCCACCAACCTAGTGCAGCCTCTGTGTTAAACCGCGCCCGTTTGTTTTTCAAACGGGGAAAGGTACTGATGGTTTAGCCTCTGCTGGTGATTACGGAAACACAGTACTCCTCAAATTTTCATCTAGGTGAGCCCAGTATACCTGGCTCCCTTGTTCCCTTGCATGGTCGACCCTCCATAGCGGTCACCCCTTAGTTGAGCGTTACCCGCCCTGATGGTCTATCTGTTAGGGTAATTGGTTCTGTTCGCTCCCAGTTCCCTATCCTCATTGAGCCTGATGACATGTGTTTTCCCTGTCACTATGTGTGGATGCCCTTAGGAGTTTTTGACCCCTAGGCTGCATTCACCACCCTCAAAGACCATCCCACCCTTTGGTTTACGACACACTTCTCATGTGACATATGGTTGTCTTGTGATTGCTTTGTTGCTCTCAGACTGAGGCTACTGCCTCTGACATTTCTAGGATTTAGYTGTTCTGCTTTTGYTGTTCTTAGGACTTATACACTAGTCAGCTGTTACCAGACCGAGGCTACTGCCTCCAACATTCTAGGATCTAGTTGTCACTACTTTCTGCTTTCCTAGGACGTGTATGCTAGTTAGTTACTTTCTGCTGGCGGGTGCATTGGTGAGGCCGAATGGCATCATCGTAAACTCGTAGTGGCCGAAGCGCGATCGAAACGCTGTCTTCGGCTGGTCGGCCGCAGCGACGCGGATCTGATGGTAACCGCTACGAAGATCAATCTTCGTAAAGAAGCGGTTGCCTGCTAGGCGGTCGAACAACTCATCAGAACGAGGCATGCGGTAACTGTTCTTAACCGTGTAGCGGTTGAGACCGCGATAATCGATGCAGAGACGGAGAGTTCCATCCGCTTTGCGAGCAAAGAGGACAGGTGCACCCCACGGGGAGTTGCTGGGTTTCATGAAACCCAGTCTCAGGAGCTCCTCAAGCTGACGCTTGAGTTCGGTGGCCTCGGGGATCGAGAACCTGTAGGGTGTCTGGTGGTGAACACGATAGTCAGGCACAAGCTGAATGGAGTGCTCGACGTCACGCATCGGTGGGATGCCGGCGTACGAGAACGACGATGGGAAAACGCCGTGGTACTCTCGGATAAGGTCACGAACTGCGGGCTCCAGGTCAGCCGTATATCGTGCGAGTTCCTCAGCGTCAGCGTCAGCGCGCGACGRCGGGGTGGACTCGACGGACTGCGGAGGGACGAAAGTAGAGATGAGAGCCCTGGAGATAGAAGGAGGATCTGGCTCCAGAGCGAGGAGATCGGCGTCGGGATAGGGTGGATCATAGTGTAAGAAATCCGTCACGTTCACCATAAAGAAGGTGACGTCGTCCTGTCGGATGAAGTGGGGGAACTGCCAAGGCGAAGTGACAGTGATAGAAGGAGATGGTGTTGGCACAGAAGGCTCCGGGAGAGGAGGATTGGGGTGTGGTGTCGCAGTGGTACCTATGAAAGGTATGCGATACGTCTGTCCACACTTCGTTTTGAGAACGAGAGTGTTGGTCACCCAATCGGCCTCGGTGCTGTGGAACCGACGAGACCACGGAGTGCCGAGAATGAAGTCGTACCCCGTCTCCATCACATCAAAATGTGCAGAGGAGCGGTGGCGACGAGACGCCAGGGAACGATCAGTCGGCTCGAGAGTGAGGAAGAAAGGGAGGTCGGTGATCGTCTGATCAAAGAAGCGCTGGGTCTTGTCATCCCCTAAGGTAACGGAGATGGGAGTCGGAGACCCTGTCGTGGGTAAGCGAGCTTCTTTCACCACGCGTGGGTGAATGAAGTCGCCCTGAGAACCGGAATCCCACAACTCGGAGTACACCCTCGTGGAGGTCCCGAGTCATACTGGGATGATCGGGAGGGTGCGATCAGGGTCAGAGAGGATGGTGAGAAGGCGACGCAGTGCAACGACATGGAGGGTGAGTCGCTCCTGACGAGCCTGAAGCATGCTCAAGTCCAGAAGAGAGGACACAACGTCCTCGAGAGTCGCGAGCTGCTCGCTGCAACGGGCTGAGCGAATGGCTCGACGCGTCGGTAGTCGCGGCGGGGAAGGAGGGGAGACGGTGGTCTGCGGAGGCGCAGACGGTACTGCGACAGAGGGCTGAGTACACTGTGTCGAGTCCTGCGATACCTCAACTCCAGTAGCGAGAGGGGCGAACCGCGACAGAGATGTCGGGAAACCCACTACTGAGGAGGGCGCAGGTGTACACTTCACCGTGGCTAGGAGGCGCCGCGGGGATGCGAGGCGCCGGGGGGGGACTGAGCACGACGCTGACGGGAAAGGTCAGCGTAGTGGCGGTCAAGGGCGGTGGTATAAGGGCACCGCGAGGAGGTATGACCGTCCTGACGGCATCGCAAACACCCACGTCGGCCCATAATAGCCGCGCGCTCCTCGGCGGAAAGGACAACGCGAGAAGGAACAGAGGTCTGAGGGAGGTCCTGCTGAGGGACCTCGGGGGGCGACGCGCCAGCGTGACCAGGGCGGTTGCGTGCCCGGGAAAGGGTGGAGAGGATAAGCTGGAGGCGCTCAGCCATAGGGAGAGTAGGGTCCTCCTGGTGGTGCTGGACGGCATCGCCAAGGTCGAGGTCATCGCTATGATCACCCTCTGGCGACGACGGGGCACCAACGTCCTGCGCCCCATACTCGAGCGCGCTGAAGCGGCGCGAGAAGTGGCGGCCCTGCTGCGTGGAACAGCGGGAGCGACCGCGGAAAGAGGAACGGCGCTGGGAAGTGCCGTGAGAGGAGGAGGAGGCGTAACCCGTGCGCTGAGGCTGGGAGGAGGAGGCGGGGTGAAGACGGGCTCGCATCCGCTTATGGTTCCTGGCGGCCTCGTAAGCCTGCGGGGCCGATGTGAACTCGTACCACCATAGCTCGGAGCGGTACTCGAGCGGGAGGCTGGCCAAGAAACGATCGATAAGGGTAGCCTCGGGAAGAAACGCCACGTCACAAACGAGGCGGGCATCCTGAAAGACCTGAATGTGGCGATCCAGGCCGGCAGCGCCACCAGAGCCGGACCAGCGTGTAGTGACGACACACTCGAAGGCGTCAGTCACGTCATATCGGGTTCCGAAGCGATCCTCGAGGAATGCCTGGAAATCCATGAAGGTCGGAGTCCGACCCTCACGCAGGGAGTAAGCATAGAAATCCTCCCAGGAGTCGAAAGGAGCACCACGCAGGCGCGTGGAGAGGTGACCCACCCACGTGTCGGGTGTGGCGCCCATGAGTTGGAGCGTGCGGGTGGCAGACTGCAGCCACCTAGACACGCGTATGTATGCCTGTACCGTCATACAAGGGAATGTCCGACAAGCGAATGAGTGGTGCGCCACCATTTTGGCGGCGAGGGGAACGGGAAGCAGGGGACTGAGCTACGGCGGAATAAGTTGGCGCAAGTCCTGGAGGGGGAGGCGCAACTGACTGTACGCCCGGGCTGCATGGTGGAGCGGCGGGGGAAACAGCAGCAGGCTGCGCAGGAGCTGCGGTAGAAGAGGTCGCAGCAACCGAGGGGATGGGGAGGAGGTAGGATGGAGATGGGTAGGGTGCAGGGCGAGGGAAGCGAGCCAGCATGGAAGGAAGAATAGAGGACGAAGGGGGTGCGCCGGAAGGCGCGGCCACCTGTGAGGGTGGGGGTTGGTGAAGGCGTGAGAGGGCGAGGTCGGCCCGGAGCTGGGCAATCGCGTCCTCGAGACCTCGAACGTAGGTCGAGCGAGGTGTGGCAGGAGGAGACACACGAGCGGCGCGAGGCATCCCACAAGGGGKAGAGACAGATGGCGCTGCGGTCGTGCGAAGAGGGGGGAGAAGTGGGGCATCCGAAAAAGTTGAGACCATGGTAGCGGGTTGTGGTCCCGTGGCCGTCGTGACCGGAATCTGGGCGGGTGCGCCTATGGACTGAGGGAGGGCCTGGCTCGTGGCGGCCATCGTGCTAGGGGCGTGGACAGTCACCAAGATGGCCGGGTCGGGGGCGGCGGAGGAGGAAGCTCCGCCGTGGCCACCCTGTCGGAGGACGGGGAACCCGGACTGGGAGCCAGGAGATGGAGGACACGCAACATCCTGGAGTTGCTGCACGCCGGCGGCAAGGGTCGCCACCTGCGCCTGTAAGGGCCCGAGGGTCGCGAGTTGCACCTGGATGTGCGCAAGGGTTGCGAGTTGCGCTTGGATGGGCGTAAGGAGGGAGGTGAGGAGGGTGTGCAGATCCCTCTGGGGCTGATGGCCCTGGTCCGCCGGCACGGGTGTGGAGCCCGATGCCGTGGCCATCGCCGTGTCGGCGGCGTGTGACACACCGTCGGCCATGGGGAGATGACGGACTGCACTGGAGGGGGCCAGAAGAGGTCCGCGTGAGCAGAGGGCGTAGGGGGAAGTCCGCGGTAGAAAGCGGCGAGCGGCGCTAGCAAGGCTAGCACGGGCGTCGTCGAAGGGGGAAGGGTGGTTCGGGTCCAGGGTGACCGAAGAGGATGGGGAAGTAGGGGGGTTTTGAAGAACCCTAAACCCTACAAAAACCCTAAGAAAACCCTAACCGAGGTTTAGGTGGTTAGGGTAGGGTACCGGTGACCTAATCAAGAAAGTATAAGAGCAAGCATAGGGGGGGGAAGGCGGGAGAAAAATAAATAAACAGCGAGATTTCGAGAGAAAATAAAAATAAATAATAAAATAAATAAATAATAAAAATAATTAAAGAAATAAGTAAAAAAGTGTGAAGGGAAAAAAATAATATTTATTTATTTTTTATTTTATTTTATTTTTTGAAATTTTTCGGCAGCACTTCCCTACCCCCCACGAGGTCAAGAATGTGCCAAGGGGGAAGGAGAGACCAAGATGAGCACACTAGGTCTCAAGATGCCGCAAATAAAAAAAAATTTCAGAAAATAAATAAATAAATAAATAGAGAAGCAAAGAAGTGGATGAGGAGGTGGGGAGGAATGAAGTATCTAATTTGTCAAAAATTTTGGCAGCATTTCGTTACCGCCCATGGGGTTGAAGTGTGCCAAGAAGACTAAGTAAGGGAAAATCAGAAAATTTCGGCAGCACTTCGTTACCCCCACGGGGTCAAAACGTGTGCCGAAAGCAAGAAAGACTAACACCTAATCAGATTTAGGGTTGCCGTGAAGAAAATCGAATTTTCAGAATAAATAGAAAAATAAATTAAATAAATCAGAAAATGAGAAAAGAAGGTGGGAAAGAAGATATTTCGAATTTTTGGAAAGAGAGAAAAGATAAATCAAAAGGAAGATAGAAAAAAAAAAAACAGAAAAATTCGAAGTGGGGGGAAATGGGAATGAAAAAGTGAAGGAGAAAAGAAGGAAATAGGTGGGGGAGGGAAAAAGATGAAGTGGGAGGTGGGGGGATGAGGTGGTGGTAGTTGGGGGAGAGGAGGGTTGGGGAAAGGTGGAGAGAGATCAAGAAGGAAGGAGAAAAGAAGGGAAGAAAAGGAGAGATGAAGAAAATAGAGTAAAAGAATGGGTGGTGGGAGAAAGGTGGGGTGGGGAAGATAAAAGGAGGAGAGAAAAGATGCAGTAGAAGGTGGGGGAAAGAGAAGGGGTGAATAAGAGGAGAGAGGAGAGGTAGGGAGAGTGGGTTAGTAGAGGGAGAGGGGAGAAGGGAGTGATACCTGGCCCTTGGTGTCTCCAAGGGCACAAGGTACACCAAGACCAAGAGGGTCTTGGTCTTCGCTGCAACAGCCAGTTGGAGGAGAGAGGGGGCTGAGGTCTTGATCAGCCCCCAGCACATAGTATTCGTAAAAACCTCACAAAACCAAAAAACCTAACATTTTTTATAGAATGAAAAAGTAAAAGTCTAAATTTTATTTTTGGCACATAAAAGAGAGCGTTTTTAACTGTTTTCCGAGAAAGAAGGCAAAAAAACTGGCAGAAAGTCCAGCGGTTCTCAAAATGTGCAAAAAAATCTTTTCCAGCAAAGATCACGTTATAGGACTATAAGTCGTTCTTAGTAGATTGACAAAAAGCATAGCTCAAACAAGACAATCTGGAAGGTCCTCAAGGCGAACTCGAAAGATGTTAAAAAAAACAGTTTCAGTGAATACTCCTTTATAGAACTATAAGTCGTTTTCTGGAGTTTGGTAAAAACCAGATTTAGGGAAATCGAGTTTATAGAACTATAAATTAATATAACTCTATTTTAAAGATAACTATAAAACCCTTGTCAAAAAATATATGTTATGTAAAAGAAGAATTCAAACAACTTTTGCCTGGGAGACATCTTCAAATTATTAGCCAATCATAATTTAAAATAAAAAAATAGAAAATTATTTAATAAAAAACACAAAAAAATAATATATTTGTCCATGTATGAGAGAACATATCCAAGCAAATGTATTCGTGAACAGGAGAGCATGTGTGCATGTTTGGGAGACCCCCGAATAGGCTCGTCGTGCTACATACCTTATAGAACTATAAATATGATTTTTTCAGATAAACAAAAAATTAGGATAATTCGGTGCCTGAACAAACGGTGCTTTGCAAGGTAGTGATTTTTTGTTAAAAACCTTGCTTCTCTCCTCATCACTTCTAGTAGTTCTGAAAAAGTACTTTCCTATTCCTTTTTTACGGTTAATTTACTTCACATAAGATTTTGTTCGTGTAGGAGGCCTGAAAAATGTACTATCAGAATCTTTAAAAATTTTCGTGTAAACCTAACAATTTTTTTTGTTAGGTTTTCACGAATACTATGTTCGTGCAGATGTGCAGATCTAG